GTAATTTGTCATAATGAACTTGTCTGCTATATACGCCTACGGACATAGTGTTCAGCGGTTGCTGTGGGAGACATGGCACAAAATGGTGGACGAACTTTCGAGTCGTTGGAGCGAGTCTTGGCATACGGTTACTTGGATACGCTAAACGATCTCCGGGATACAATTGACTGTTGCTAGGACAAATTGGTAGCTGGTATACTCTGTAACGATGGTGACTATCAACGGTGAGGGAACTAGGGCGAGGGTATGGCGCTGTTGATGTGTAACCATGGTGATAACGAAGGCTCGGATGCTTAGGAACTAGTTGCTGTGGTGACAAACCGCTGGCTATGGCGTTCAGCTTGCTTAGTTTGGACTTTTTTGTTTTGATTCTGTGGCGTTTGTTGTTAAACCAGCAGCGTATTTGAACTTCGGTTAGACTGAGATCATTGGCGAGTTTAGTAATGCTTTCACTGGATGGATAAGGATCATGGCTGAATATACAGGAAAGAACTGCAGCGTGTTTAGAGGAAACTCTGGTAGACTGTTTAGGAAGATCTGATGATATAATGATAAAAAACATTAGAAAATATAAACCATAAATAAAACAGCACTCATAGAAATAATAGTTTTTGATTGATAATCTATAAAGTCTATAAATGGCAATAATGATTGCCGTAATAGAGAATCTAGAAGCTATAGCTCCAATTGATAATACATTAATAATGAAATAATCGAGTTTACAGCAAACAAGGTTCTTACAAGCCATGTGGGACAATCATGAAAATAAACACGAGCATGCGTTGCAAAATTCTCCAAACTTACCATTCTCAAAAGTTGAAACAGGCTTTGGTGTCAGCGGCTTACTGTAATGGTCATGCGTACAACCAAGTATATCTTCAATCATAAAGGACTTTCGCTTTGGAGCAGTGAGTTGGACGATTACCTCGTTGTTTTCAAAAGTTTTAGACATTTTTTCCGTGTCTGATAGACGAGTGTGATCTGAAGTCTGTCGCTCGTAAGGTCAAGTGACAAGTGTGTGCAGCGAGCTGCTTATATAGCAGAGCAATGCTTAAGCGGCAATGACAATAAGATGCTTATACTAGGCGGTAAGCTGAATGAACAATGCAAAACAAGCTGCAATCACATCAAACAATGCAAACAGGCGGCAATGACAGTAAGATGACTATAATAGGCGGTAAGCTGAATGAACAATGCAAAACAAGCTGCAATCACATCAAACAATGCAAACAGACGGCAATGACAATATGCGGCTACGGGCGGCAAGCGCGCAAAATAAACAATGCAATCAACAATGACAATGCAACCGACGGCATTCACAATACGGCATTGGGCTACAAGCACGCATTAAAAATTAAATACAATCATTTGTGCTGATAGTCTATGTGAGCCGTATTCACGTCAAGCAATAGGTAACAATAAAGGCGCCAAACACAATGAAAATATGGTAAGAGGCGGCGAATGACATAGTGAAATAAAACTATCGGTACTAATCATGTAAGGGAAAGAGAATTACATCAAACGGTGGGTAAGAACTTCAAATAAAGAAAGTTAAAAACTAGGCATCAAATAAAACCAAAAGAATAAGGTTATGTTTGTAAACTCCATAACTGCAGCACACACTAGTTTACCGCTAGCTTGGGTAAGAACTTCAAATAAAGAAAGTTAAAAAACTAGGCGTCAAATAACAACAAAAGAATAAGGTTATGTTTTTAAACTCCATAACTGCAGCACAAACTAGTTTACCGCTAGCTCCCACCATTTTTACTACATAACATGAAACTGTTCGTATTGATCGGGGCTTTCCTGCTAGAATATCACGTGACGAAGCCGATTAAGTAAGTTGTTTCACCTTCTTTTTTACGGTATTAATTTATCTTTTTACACAACTGTTTCTTTGGAAACACCGACGCAGCTCACACTAGTTTACCGCTAGTTCCCACTATTATCACTTGAAAAGATTTCACGAGTATAAATCACACTGGACCAGAAACCAACCCTCGCGCCGCGTTTTTGGCGCCAAATACGAAGAGTCTACGAACGCAAGTCGACATGGCGGCGGCTAATTGTCGGGCTTTTTTTGAATAACATTCAATTTTGGCGGCTATTTTGAAATTGAATAAAGCATCAGAATCTCTATTGTTTTGGAACTAATTGTGGCGCGGTGTGGCGTAGAAAGAATGATTGATAATTTAACAACTTTTCTGTAAACGGCGAATCGATCTAATCTTACAAGTACCGCATTCAGTGAGCCGACAATGAGCCAAACAAAGGCCTCGTTGTTATTATAAATGATAAAAGTTAACGGTAAACTAGTGTGAGTTGCGTCGGTGTTTGTAAAGAAACAAGATAGATAAAGTATAGAGTCATTTTCAGCCGTCTGTGAAACATTTACTACTAGATAGTGTTTAATAGAATGGTTTTCATTAACCCGTGAAACACACTTAGCGTATTTATCGCTATTGCACTTTGACTCTTTTGTTTTTTATTGTCTCTACGCGACTATTACGATCTATTACACTCTAATTATTACACTTTGTTTCACGGGTTTATGAAAACCACACTATGAAAACCACTCTAGTAACTATAAGGGTGTAGTAGGCTACCAAAAGGCAAAATCAAAGCCGTGTTTGCCTAATTAGTTTGTCGCATGTCAAACTAGCTAATAGGGGGTAATAGTACAATTCCTATTTCACAGACCGATGAAACTGACTCTATACCGTAAAACACTGTATGTTAATGAGAAATCCTTTGACAATCAAACAGCAACATGGATACCCAAAATTGGACTAAAATTTTAGCAAGATCGAGTATACTCAATAGCCTCCTCTAGCTAGCCTCCGTTGCAGACGACCTTATGTAATCCGCGCACGGATCCACTTACTTTTTATATAACGAGATTGGGAGTATCGTGGTTTCATAACAATTTTTTTTATTTGTTCACTAGATTTTCATAATAATTCATTATCACTGTTTTTTTTCACGTGTTTTCAAAACTTCATACTTTCGTCAAGGTTATTTTCAGGTTTTGGCAATGGAAATATCTGATTTTGCATAAATTCAATATCTGTTCTTCCTGTAGCAATTTCTACATCAAGCTGAAGTTCCTTAAGAAACTCACTTACATAAAGACCAGTTAAATTCACTTTTTTCAAGCATTTACAATTTGTAGCCATTCTAATAAAGGCATTGATGATATTGTCTCTCTCNCACACACTAGTTTACCGCTAGCTTGGGTAAGAACTTCAAATAAAGAAAGTTAAAAAACTAGGCGTCAAATAACAACAAAAGAATAAGGTTATGTTTTTAAACTCCATAACTGCAGCACAAACTAGTTTACCGCTAGCTCCCACCATTTTTACTACATAACATGAAACTGTTCGTATTGATCGGGGCTTTCCTGCTAGAATATCACGTGACGAAGCCGATTAAGTAAGTTGTTTCACCTTCTTTTTTACGGTATTAATTTATCTTTTTACACAACTGTTTCTTTGGAAACACCGACGCAGCTCACACTAGTTTACCGCTAGTTCCCACTATTATCACTTGAAAAGATTTCACGAGTATAAATCACACTGGACCAGAAACCAACCCTCGCGCCGCGTTTTTGGCGCCAAATACGAAGAGTCTACGAACGCAAGTCGACATGGCGGCGGCTAATTGTCGGGCTTTTTTTGAATAACATTCAATTTTGGCGGCTATTTTGAAATTGAATAAAGCATCAGAATCTCTATTGTTTTGGAACTAATTGTGGCGCGGTGCGGCGTAGAAAGAATGATTGATAATTTAACAACTTTTCTCTAAACGGCGAATCGATCTAATCTTACAAGTACCGCATTCAATGAGCCGACAATGAGCCAAACAAAGGCCTCGTTGTTATTATAAATGATAAAAGCTAACGGTAAACTAGTGTGAGTTGCGTCGGTGTTTGTAAAGAAACAAGATAGATAAAGTATAGAGTCATTTTCATCCGTCTGTGAAACATTTACTACTAGACGGTGTTTAATAGAGTGTTTTTCATTAACCCGTGAAACCAAGGGCGCTAGAACTGAAATTATGACCTATAAGTAAGATCCAAAAATTGCTTAATTTATCCAACATAAGATAGTCGATAATAAATTGTAAAGTTTTACTTATCTGAAATATACACTGAAATGTCCTCTTAGACACTAAAAAGCACTTGATTTTACGAAATTCATCCAAATGATCGTTACTCAAGCGGTTATTACCGGATTTCCGGTTAATGAATAACGTTCCTGGCGAGACAGCAGTGGCTGGTACAACAAGGACAGCGGTAATAAATTCAGCAACAACCGCTTGAGTAACGATCATTTGGATGAATTTCGTAAAATCAAAAGAGGACATTTCAGTGTATATTTCAGATAAGTAAAACTTTACAATTTATTATCGACTATCTTATGTTGGATAAATTAAGCAATTTTTGGATCTTATAGGTCATAATTTCAGTTCTAGCGCCCTTGATTACACTTTGGCTCTTTTGTTTTTTATTGTATCTACGCGACTATTACGATCTATTACACTCTAATTATTACACTTTGTTTCACGGGTTTATGAAAACCACACTATGAAAACCACTCTAGTAACTATTATGGTCTAGTAGGCTACCAAAAGGCAAAATCAAAACCGTGTTTGCCTAATTAGTTTATCGAATGTCAAACTAGCTAATAGGGGGTAATAGTACAATTCCTATTTCACAGATCGATGAAACTGACTCTATACCGTAAAACATTGTGTGTTTTAAGAAATCCTTTGTCAATCAACCAGCAACATGGATACCCAAAATTGGGCTAAAATTTTAGCAAGGGTATACTCAATAGCCTATCTAGCCTCCGTTGCAGACGACCTTATGTAATCCGCGCACGGATCCGCTTACTTTTTATATAACTAGATTGGGAGTATCGTGGTTTTATAACAATTTTTTTTATTTGTTCACTAGATTTTCATAATAATTCATTATCACTGAGTTTTTTCCCAAGTTTTCAAAACTTCATACTTTCGTCAAGGTTATTTTCAGGTTGTGGCAACGGGAATATCTGATTTTGCATAAATTCAATATCTGTTCTTCCTGTAGCAATTTCTACATCAAGCTGAAGTTCCTTAAGAAACTCACTTACATAAAGACCAGTTAAATTCACTTTTTTCAAGCATTTACAATTTGTAGCCATCCTAATAAAGGCATTGATGATATTTTCTCTCTCATTGCAGTGATAATATATTATCCATATAGCGTGTATATACGGGTTATATTCGGCCAATGTATCGACGATGTGATTTGTACCACTTATTTCATTAGCTGCGACACAGATCCTTTTCAAMTGAGRCATGCTGGGTAAAAAAGCTTTAAAATGGACGTGAGAGAATGGTATCGAGGAAATGTYCAAACACGTGATCATAGGACATCCAATCAAAAGGTTAACAGCGTTGTCGATGATTATAGGAAARCGYCTATTAATCTGGAGGGTTTTGACATGCGGGAACCCTTTGTGTTGTAAGGCCCTGCAGTCTTCTTCAGTCAGCGCACACTTTAAGTAGCGCAGGCGTTGTATGCTTGATAAAACCGCTGTAACACCAACGTGGGATACGCGGGCACAGTGTTGAATGTCTAAAGAYGTTATGTTSGAGSCACCCCAATCTGCATCCGTCAAACTAGAATCATCTATTCTTGTCCCAGTTAATAGAAGAGTTGTAAGTTTGTGACAGTGTTTCAGTAATGTCTTCAGTGAATGGCCGATGTAGTTGTAACACCGAGCAAGAGAAAGATACTCAAGTCGAGGACAATTTTTCGCGATGACGTCAACAAAGTCATCTATCAGCCAATCACATTGGCTGCAGTCGAGTATGCGCAGTTGAGGCTTGTTGCTGAATACTGWTTGGCTGATACGCGAAGGGAAGCAACAGTACATACCTTAAGACAAAAGAAAATCACATGACTCGYGCCCAGTATTTACAGCKTCTAGTTACACGAAAAGACTTCTGGGATTCTTTTCAGGTGCTTACCTAAGCATTCCAGACCATCAGCCTGCTCTAACACAGACTCAACTTCCAGTGAATACCCACGAACATCCCTCAAATCAATTCTTTTCAAAGACTTGAAGTCAAATCCAACGTACCACTGGCCATTAGTGATTTGGAATTTACATTTTCGTAAATCTAAAGTGTGTAGATACTTGCATTCTCGGAACAGAAACTGTATGGTATTAGAATTGACGTTGAATTCACTGAGTGAAAGTTTTCGTCCAAGAGGAGCGAAGTTATTTGTTAAGATATCTAGAAGAGTTTTGTCTTTGATTGTGTTGCTGTATGGCTGRAGGTTGAGAGATGACCATAGCGAGCTGTCTCTGCTGACCCGTCGCCATATTTTACAAACCTGGAAAATAGCAACGTAAAGGTTTGGTCGAGGACCACAAACAAAGAGACAAAGTCAACTCTACTGCGACATAACACATGCTTGACATAATCATAGCAACAAGCATAAGTTCTGACGGCAGAAGAAAAAGGGAATATAGTATGCGGAATCCTACATAAGCCTAAGTATCCTGAGAAATTCTAATGCGTATGCAATGCAGGATCGAAAAGATGGTGTGAACTAGCGGTAAACTAGTGTGAGCTACGTCGGTGTTTCTAAAGAAACAGTTCTGTAAAAAGATAAATTTAACACCGTAAAAAAAGTAGGTGAAATAACTTACTGACGTTTGGGACGTAAATCTCTTTACTCCAACGAAGGATTAATAATGTTAATAGTAACGTCAGTAAAAGTTATTTCACCTACTTTTTACGGTGTTAAATTTATCTTTTTACAAAACTGTTAGGATAGAAAAGAATTGTTCCGTACGATTTTCTGAAAAAACAAATTCTTCAGTGACCGCTTAAGYTCACCTTTGAAGCTGTCTGCAAATCTCGAAGAGTCAAAAAAGAAAAMATCTTCAACAAGATATCTTCAGATACCAAGTAAAACAAACTGTTACTCATCTTGTTGACTGAAGGATTGTAAAAGAGACTGTTTGTCCAGACAGTACTTGCACTTTTTCTCCGTCTCTTTGACTGGCAAGGGATCKTGTAGATGTCTGTGCTCATGACACAGTACTTCAGCACATTATTCTTAGTGCATTTTATTAAAACACAGACATTCAACCATTGTGAGGTCATTWTGTGTTGGTACGCGCGCGCTTAGGTTTGCGCGCTTTTTTCTATTCAAGCGCGCCTATCTGTACTCCGTGCGTTCATGGGTTAAAGTTTCACCTAAAGTGGTTTATATGATCACATTTTTATTGTAATAACAGTCTACACAGAATTATTTTACTTTAACATGATCTGTCACTGCTCTTTTACCCTCTTCATCTTTGTAACCGCCGCATTAGTTATGTGGATTAACTGGAAAAATTGTTTTTTTTACATATACTCAGTCACACACATATTTTCTATTAAACTCTCAAGTTTATGAATAACAAAAGTGTTTCTCAAGATAAAAGTACAAATTAATAATTACCGAACACAAATTAACGCGAACGTCTTGGATTCGAACYCATGCCAAGAATGTCGAAAACGAGATATGAAGGTGAGGCGTCGAATCGATTTATRTTTCGGTTASATATGTCSGCTYTTCMATGCTATCCCGATAAKTGGTCCTWGCTTCGCGCTAAATAAAAAAGCCAGTGAGGGGGAAGTTAATCGGCCCCTAGACCATATATGATTAACCCATTTACTGGCTCCGTCACTTGCCTGTGCCGGTTTAAGTCTTCCATGTTATCTCTATAATTAGTCCTAACTTCGCACTAAAAAAAAAGCCAGTGAGGGAGAAGTTAATCGGCCCCTAGACCATACATGATTCACCCCTTGACTTGCTCCGTCACTTGCTTTCGGCGGTTGAAAATTCCTTGTGACAACACTGCTACAATATGCTGTAATTTGTATGTACAAATGGTGTTTTTCAATTTCATTAATCGGCTTTTTCTAACGATTTGCCTACGCACAGACATCGCAAATTAAAATCTCGTAAATATTCCTGTCAAACTAAAATCACCGGGAGAATTGGTGTGTTTGCGTTATTGGTCGCGTGTTGCTTGTTCAGCTGTCTCTAAATCCCGTCTCCACGTCGTTGTAAAACAGTATTTAATCAAAATCGGAACCATTTCACAGCACGATGATCGTACAAGTAAATTTATCAACACTTTTAGCTTTACTTTGGTTACTGTTGATCAATATTATTATCTTTGTACAAGGAAATTGTTCTAACACTGTTAAAAACCATGTTTTACATGGAAAACATTTTGAAAGGCTGCACAACATCGACTGGCTAGCATGCATACAAAGCTGTAACGTGCACAAAAATTGCTACTCTTACAACTTTTGCTTCTCAGAGTCAAGAATACAACTTGGTACCTGTGAACTTAACGATTGCTGGATAAAAGAGGATCTTAAGTCGAGAAAATCRTCTCTTGTTTTCKTTCAAGACTGCTTYTTTCAGCAGATTCCGAGACGCAGAAAGGTAAGAYAGKTTTATGATTGATTGAAGTTTGTTTTGAACGTTTTCTATTTATCCAAAAAGAAACAGAAAAAATGTTTGTTGTTCGTTTATCTGAGAATGTAAACATTGTCATTTCATGCACTTTAGAGTGTTTTCCTTTCATCGCTGTTAATCTTTTRTAGCTAGCGCTTGATTGTCTTCCTTTGCACAATCGACTGATTTCCACTTAAAATTCTAGTTTGGTGGTTAACTACAATCATGATCAACACTAGGAAATGTAAAATTAATTTATTGACTAAACGAATGTAAGTAAAGTAGCTTCATGAATTTGTGCACTGCAAGTGAAGCCTTTATTCATACCATTCTTAACACGACAAAATTCTGCTTGTTGGTCAACGATGTTGCTGTTTCTCATGACACGGACTTTGTTTGCGCGCGTAAAGTGGTCACCGATCTGGCGAATCAAAAAAGCGAAAAACACTAAAGTTTAAAGTAACAAACAGCGCTAGAAGTTAAGTTTTTTCTCGGCTTCTATCTCGACTTCCATGCTTGTCCAGCGATTCCATCCTTGAGATGATTGAACTGGAAACCATTGAGACATAAGTGTAAAAAAGCGCGCGACAACGTACTAACCGCATGGTACTACGGTGCTTGCGTTAAGGCATCTTGAGGGCACATAGCAAGGCGTGCTTTAATCGTGTATTAATTCACAACAATTTTAAGAAATCCTTGTTATCTACAATAAACAATTGATGAAAAGGGTCTAGTTGTCAAGTGTACAATTGTCCAATGTTTACGTACGTTTGTTTTACGTAAGTTTATCTTTACGCAAAAACACTCGATCGATGATCAGGTTTTCTTTAGTTCAGCACATTAAGGTGTATATATATACTTCACATTGCTTACGTATGTTTGTTTTACGTAAGTTTATCTTTACGCAAAAACACTCGATCTATCGATGATTAGGTTTTCTTTATAGTTTAACATAAGGTGTACACTTGTTCACACTGCTTAAACGTATGCTTGTCTTGCGTAAGTTTGTTGCGGAATAATACTACCCAATGAATATTATACCATCTCAAGGGATTGTGGGATTGTAAAAACTTGATTATTAGATAATTATTAGACATTATTCGAAGTAAGGTGCATCAACAATGATAATAAATATATGTAGAATCGATCTTATACTATATCTTGTCAGATGATTACATGCAAAGGCGTTTTGCAGGATTGTATTTCATTTAGACTTCAAAGGATGATGTATGTATTCCGGCCTCCTTTTACATCTCTCAAGATCAGTTTACTACTCAAAATATATTTTACAGATGTTATCAGYGTTAATACCGTTTTGGTCGATTCATACAAAAATTAATGCGTTTTTTGGGATTCGCAGCTTGTCAAACAATATTGCATRAATGTACRTGAACTGTCAGCTTTGAAGTTCTGCCGCAACTTTGACGCTGAAAACTACCTTTTCCTATCACTACCTTTTCTTAAAACTTTATTGTATGACGGATAGTCCTGATATCAGCACAAAGAGCTATAGGAATTGACATCGAGTCAAATATTTTCACCTTAGAAGGAAACTGGCTAATTTGATGGAGCCCGAGGAAAAGTGATAATTTCATTAACAATAATTGGACCTTAGGGCTTTATCAAGCGAGAAGGTTCTATTGAATAAAGGCCGGATAAATGACAGGCTGACAGAAAGAAGAAATGGATGGATGGATGGTTGAAAGAACACAATATATCATTAAATATATGTAAATAAAAAAGTGAAAAGAAAGGAAAAACGAATGATGAACAAAGACATAAATAAGATGCCGTAAATAAATAGAACGAATGGTTGATTTGTCATGATGAGAGGGGATCTATCTTGCCATAGTTGTCTACACTTCCGATTATTACAAGACAGAAGTCCAAGTCGTTTTACAGTATCAACAACCAATATTCTATAAACCTATTAAAAGGGCCACTAGCTCCTGACGTCTTGTCGGTAGTATGATTCAGCGCCCACTAATGCAGATATAAACCGACTTAGCTTGGAAAGTCACTCTTAAGTTTAATAAAATAAATTCTGTTTTTCTATCAACACATAGTTGTATTGTGTTTTATAGTTGTATTCAGRTGACGAGGATCGGATATACCACAATTCCTTTCGATCCCAGAATTGACATTCTAATAAATCAACCTTGTTTGAAATCGTTGTAATCCATTGTTAAGAACTTATGGACAGCTCTATTGTAATTACTATCTAATCTTATGTTCTGACATATATTGATCACCTGCTAGACGTCTTTTTTTTGTACTGAAAACGCGATAAAAAACCTGTAYAAACATTGTCGCCATACATGAAGTAGTTTGACAGTTTCTTTCTTATTCAAAGCGCAACACAGCCTGCGACAAGAAAAACAATGGCAAAAATAAAGGTAGGTTAATTAGTTTTCATCTTTGATTGATTTTTGCGAATATTATTTTTAATTTAGTCAGCCGATGTCATTTAATACTAGTGTGAATTGGTTGGTTGGTTGGATGGTTGGTTGGTTGGTTGGTTGGTTGGTTGGTTGGTTGGTTGGTTGGTTGGTTGGTTGGTTGGTTGGTTGGTTGGTTGGTTGGTTAACAGTCAAATGACATATTGTTCTCGTTTTCTAACAGCAAGATGGATCCAAACTGCAATGCGACCGCCGACAATCTGCTTACAAACTTCCACTAATGTGGGCTTCTTTATACCAGCGACTGGTTACATACTCAGCGTACGCTTGACGTGGCAAAGTGGAGTGATATCATGTAACAAGGATAAAGATCACTGTGCCGCTTACTGGGGCTGCGCATGTTACGACCACTCCAAACCAACTAGTACTGATACCAGACTTGACATCATAATTACAGATCATAACAGCCACAAGGTGTTTCCAGATCTTAAATTACCAGATCAGAACGACCGCATATGGTACACTTTACCAGATCAAACTAACGAGCAGCAAGTTTTGACGTTTCCGAATCTAACACAACCGCTGAGAGTGAGGAATGGCGAGAAGTTCATAGTCTGGTATAGCACTCATTTACTTAATCCTGGCCCACACTGGTCAAAGGCTGATGGAAATGTTTGCTTTTCAGTTGAAGTTTTGTTTAGTCAGGTCGACGCTGACGATGATCACGATCCTTTTTTAAGATAATACGGTCTTCAGAGAGAACAAGGTGTTATCGCTCGTTAGCCTGTTGGTAGACCAGAAGGGAACACGGAGAACKAAACCGGCTTACTAAGACAATCTAGAACATTCATAGACCTTCATATGCCATGAATTTRTTGTCAGCAAACGCGCGCCTGAACCAGCACTGTGTATGATAATAAACTATATATACTAGCAGATCGCGAATATTGTGAAATACTCTCATTATTTAGAAATWTCTAGCATAGAAAGTTTTCTAGATGCGAACGCGACGCAAAGCACGTGGTTTAATCAACACCCTTCTTTTATTAAAGTAATTAGTGATCTACGTTTCACGGATTTAGCGTGCTATGCAAGTTTCAATCTCGAAAGCCAATGTAGGAAAACAATGTAAAAGGAAATAAAGTTTGATTGGTTGAAATGAAACTTTTTTCGTTTTTGTACAAAAAAATTAAAAAGACAGAAATGTCGTCTATTTTCACCCCGTTCACATATCTCTGGGCACCCATGTATAATGTGTCAAAGGAAGCAATTTTGAGAAAGAGAAGATAGAAAAGGAGAAAGTAGATGAAAAAAGAAATGAGATTAATGGAAAAATGAATGAATGAACGGAACCGCTGTCTCAAAATAACGCTGTCCAGTATCATCAAAACGAGGCTCCGTCCACCATGTTGGAATCTCTCCACGTCACCTCAAGAACAAAACAAAACGAAGCTTGAATCATCGAATCGAACGATTGATCAGCTAAAAATCAAGCTTCCATTGATTAATTGCAGTATGGACCTCATATAGCACAGCAGAAACGGTTGGGGAACTTTATAACTCTAGGAAAATGTGTAGTCGAAGAAACAAGCCCGTCTTGCAAGCAGTTGTTTTTCTGGGACTCGTTGGCTGCTTGGGTTACTTCGTTTATTTATATAATACTAAATCCTTAAAACTAGAGAGAACTGATAGACAACTGAAGAAATATATTCAGCATCAGCAGTCTTTGTCTTCACAATTAAAAGGTAAGGGAGTCTATTAAATGGAGAATTTAGACCGTCCAACTAATTTTACAATCTCAAAGAATAATTTGCAACCTTTTTGTAAACACTCGTTGATGATACTGTACTTTGAACCAAATTATTTTTAATAAAACTGTTTCAGCATCAAACAGTTATGTACTCAAATGCTTCGAAGCGAATAGTTTTTATTTTGATTGTACAGTTCCTCAATGAAAATGTAATTGTTTACGTTCTATTCAAAGTTAAATACAGTGGTCGACAGCTGTTGTTACCTTGTTACCTTACGTGAGTGTCATTATCACTTTGATTTTGAATTATTTCAACAGCTGGTACGTCATTCTGGTGCAATGAAACTCTTTTTGTCGTTGTACTAGATGAAGCTAGTGAACCATTGAATGATTTCTGAAATGTTTCATGTAGTTTATTCAGAATACATGTATAATGCCTCAGTTTCTTATGAAGTTCAATTTTGTTTCTTCATATGGAGATAAAACCTATTAAGTCCATGTTTTGTTTTTAATATGAAAATATTATAACCCCAAGTGGGTTTCTGAGAATACATGCAGTTTTTCATTTCTTTATAATAATAATATACAGTATCATGTGCTAGAGCTGCCAGAATGCTTTGACCACTTTCATCTGTAGCCAACTACATTGGTGATAATAATTCATTTGATTCAGGTATTCCATTAGAAGTCGGCAACCATCAAAATCCAGTGTTTATTTTGTYCACTGGACAGGGTATTTTAAAAATTACGGTTTGTGACTTACTACATTTACTTCTTCAGACCAGCCACATACTTCCAAATTWAATATAACTCTTTTACACTGAGCAAGCATTCTGGTAACTAGTGCATGCCATGTTAAAAGGTTTCATCATAATTCTACATCAAAGCAGTAAAGATTTTGCTATTGTTTATTAACTGCATGGTTTAATGTTTTTTCTTTAGTTGTTTATGAACATAGAGCGCTGTTAGAAAAATCATTTGAAAAGGAAAAAATCGATCACAAGAAGACAATGCAAGGTACTATTGTGATCAAATGTTAGGTTCTGGTTGCTCCTAGACAGACATCATGTGACGTCCACCCTGTCAATATATCTAAAACTGTCTTTAAAAAGTCTATATTGTCAGTGAAGTTTTCCCAGACCTGTAGCTGGTTACATGAATTAAGAATAATGTTTGAATTCATGTAGTGAATAATCCATGGTTTGAAAGATACTGATTTKCTAGAGAGTTTGTCAGGGAATTAATTGGCACAGGTGTGTTTGTCTCATTAGTAAGAGCTATAAAATTGGTAATTATTTTCAATGTTTTTTAATGACATCCTGTAGATAGGTGAAAGAAATTATGAACTGCAAGTATCTATCACTAAATAGAAATCTTTTATTTCAGATTTAGCAAATACAAAAAGAGAATTTAGTAGGAACATAACRCGAACAAAAGTAAGTCAACATATTTTCAAGTTATTAGTGTATCCCATCAACCAAACGGTTGATCATCTCTTGCTGTATTAAAATAAACACATAAAACATAGTGTTCCATCAATGAAGTATAATAAACCATACTTTACAGTCATATAAGACCCATAGGTCTGTCTGTAGTGTAATTTTGTAAGTTGTTCTCCATGTGAATCAAATAAAATAAAGAAATATGATGACATGCAGCCCAATAAAAGCTTGGYATTGAAAAACTATTGTTGCAGTACTGTTATGCACTATTTGTTKAATTTTTCATTTGTTTGCATTAAATAGTATTTCACATGTGTAGGAATAGAAAGTATTCTGAAAGTATTAATTAAGSGTGTTCATGTATAAATCATTTTTTTGCAGCATGAAACACTTAATAGGTTTAATTCTTTAGAAACACAGCACAGAATGGTGAAGGTACATTAAGTTTATATTACACCTTCTACTGGCAGTGTCACTAGTCAATATTATTTGTTGCCAACAGAATCAAGTAGTAAAAATATCTTAAACCTTGATTTCAAGAGTAGAAATCAAGCATTTAAGTTGCTATTGTAGTAGCCTGCTTAGCTAATCACTGCATGTTCTAAGGCACTCCAAAG